TTACAGTGGAACGGACGTGTTCTGAAATGTTCTTCGGATCGCATGTTATAGACCGCAGTTCACAGAAAATATACTTCCTTTATAGGACGGTCGCCTTCTTCAATGTGAATGCATGCGCAATGAAACAGTACTGGTTATAATATAATTTTCGCATGGCACTCATCCAACTCTGCCTATTCCAGTTGGCACTTTTCAATGAGATTGGCAAGAATTACGTCAGATTTTAATGGACAAGAATGTTAGATTAAACACTAATACTCTGGCTGAATAAGTGCGTATCGCAAACTCCTTCGTAAGCCTGTACATAACAGACACTGAAGGAAGCCTTTACGTAAACAAATAACTTCATTTTTTAGGAAAATAATATAACACAACTACCTTTAATTAATGCTTTCCACAGTAAAATATTTAGGAGGTACATGAATCTATAAATGGAGGCGTAAATGAACGCTAACATATTCAATCTCATTTTGGTACGTATTTCCTGCACATCTTTTGCAAAACGCTCAACCAAACGTGAATATGTGACACAGCAGGATTTGGCTTGGCGCTCTGTTGCTTATGCTTCAATTATCTTCAAGGGAGTTTTGTCCAACATCTTTTTTTACTCTCAGTACTCGTTATATAAAGCTAAAGTAACATGTGAATTTAAGGAGCCCTGCATCTCTTATTAAACAACTAAGATAAGTATGAACTGCATAAACTAACCAGGTTTGACATTTCATTGAACATTAGATTGATGATCAATGACAGTCACAGTCGCCAAGGTCTTTCGGAATTTTGTTCGACCGCATCTGCAGTTTGATATCCAAGCATGGAGACCCTGGACCGCTGAAGACATCCGCATACTCAAAAGAGTTAAACGGCGAACAACGAAACTTGCATCTGCGAAGTGGTTACTACCCTGCGAAATACGATTAGCTAATCTTGACCTCTATCATTTGAGTTACAGACAGCTACGTGAGGACCTGATACAAGCTTTCTGCCTTGTGCACAATCAGGGCTGCTGCCTCGCATCTGGAGACTTCTTCGAATTGGCGACTACGACTAACCTGAGAGGCCATCCACTCAAACTACGTGAGACTGGTGCCCCGATAGACACACAAAAGTTCTTCTTCTCCAAAAGAGTGGTTGCAGCTTGGAATATTTTACCTGAAGATGTTGCGTTGTCGGGATCCGTGGAAACTTTTAAACGGAGGCTAGATCAACATTGGAGCGCGCGTCACAATAATGCCGGACTACTGCCACCTTGATAGCCAACGTTGACAATTTGGTGTTATCACGATGCTACTACCGACATGCAAGTAACATAAGTTTATGTAATTTATTACTTTTACACCACGTCGCACACCGCTGCTCGCATTCACCACGACGCCTGCAGACTAGAAAATTTTTTACATCTTTTCCTGTATCATAGGTGTGTTTCAACAGTCTGCTGCATTTAATCAAAAAAACCGAGTTCGTATGCCTTTAAATGCTGTTAACACGGGAAATTATCTGTTCATCTCTAGAGTTTTTGTTATTCTCCTTGTATTTCTTTCATCTTACTTCATTTCCATTCTTCAATATACTTCCTCCGTATGTGACCAATAAAGATTTCAAAGGTACTCACCTACTTTCCCTGAAATACACTGATACTGATATTAATACTGAATTTTCACCAGGGAAGTCATTTCTACTCGGGAGCTCCTTCAGTATCTCTAGGCTGTGGCGTCCGTTGCATACCGGTACAAGTGACAGGTGGATTTACGGCGCCCTCACCGCGTATGAAATAATCGCGGTAGTTGGAGACTGCAAACACAAACCAAATTTGTTATTCACTTGCACATTTTGGGATTTTAGCTAGCATTTCCTGAGATAGCATATCTGCTGTACATACAGCTTGCTACGTGAGAGCCAGCCTGAAGCTGCCAGCCACACTTGTTATTGCATTTCACCTGCCACTGGCAATCAATACCAACGAAGACGCTGCCAATCACAGCGGAGCATTAACGACTGGCCTTTCAGTAGCCTGCCTTCGGGTTAAGGGTTCTGAGACTGAATTCAGGTTGGCTGCTTCAGGCTGCATCTCAGACGTACCAAGATGCGCTTCTTGTTTACGAATATATCCTATGCATCCCCCTCCCACCGCCGCCTAAATCAGACAGCGCCTGAGCACGCATTTTGTGCCTCAAAAGGCATATCAGTCAGTAAAATGAGTTAAAAATAAATTGCCTCTTTTCTTCGGCTGCAAAATCCGATGAAGGGGCAACTTTGCTCATGTGGATCATTAGTCTAAAAATGCAGATAATCCTTTTTTCAGTAAAAACTGCGAATCTCGAATGCCACCGGCCAAATGCTGCAGACACCCAAAACCTACCAACATGCCCTCACGAGCAACTGACTACCGGTGGGTGCATCCGATTGGTCGGTCATCATATTTTATTTCGAATATGTAATTTGACTCATGTGGACCATCATTTTAGATATACAGTTAATTTACTTTACCAGAGGGGACGCACTGACCACAGCGTCATTCACAAATTATCTAAACTCTAGGATGAGACACGACTGACAAGCTGAAGAAGTGGTCATCAACGTCGCCCATCCATCTTCTGACGGAACGCCGACCCAGCAACATATTAGGACGCATGTACAATGGACTTGCTATTTCGTGAAGAACTGACTGAAATCCTGAGATGAATTTTCAGCTCCACAAGAGTACTTTAGTAGAATTGCACTATTCCCTGTCATGTTGCCTGATGCTAAGACATTACAGTCGTGTCAGTCATGCAGTTTTTGTCTCAAAATGCATAGCAGTCAGTTAAAAATTAATTGCCTCATTTCGGACCGTGCCTGAAAAGGTCTGTTCCGAAGGATTTACTTCAAGTTCGATTATTGATTTCCTCGGAAATCAAACAAGGCAGGTCATCAACATCGCCTACCCAACTGACGGAACGGTGGCCCAGCATCCGACACACGCAGACATCCACGCGAGTTACACCGACCAGTGTCCGTGACCTTTACATGTTTGGTCGTGGGTTGAGCACCACGACGGATGAGCAATGGAACAATGATCTATTTCCAGTCGACTGGCAATCAGCACAGACAAGACTATGGTCATTTGCTAACTGGAAATGTGTGATGATTTCAAGTGGCCCAGAATCAGGGTAGATGTAACTCGCCTGCCATCTCTGGATAAATTCGTCTACCTGGGCAGTGCAACCTCGAACGGTCAAGTCGGATCTCCAAGATTGGACGTGTATATGGCTAGCGGGGCACTCACTTCAGGATCGTGGTGATCTTCGATTGGACAGGAAAGTTAAGACATACAGTCGTCACACTGATAACGCATCTGTACGTGGCTGAGACATGGACGGTGTAGGGAAAGTAAAGAAACTTCACCCCAGTTTTCTCTACGAATCGCTTATGCTGCGGTGATAGGACTGGAGGCCAGAAATAAGAAGTCCTCGAAGGTTGCGATTCATCATGCTGTGTGACAGCGGTCACGTGAAAGGGATGGATGACGAGCGTCTATGCAAACGACTATTCATTGAGGACGTTGGTACGGGTGCTTGTATACCGTGTGGTCATGAGCGTGGCTACAATAACACCCTTAGGATTTCCCTCTATTATAGACAAATCATACCAAGAACATCTCAACGCTGTCTACCCGGACATTCAATTTACGATGGAGGAGGAAGAGAATAACCAGCTGGCCTTCCTGAATGTCCTCGTATGCCGCAAAGATTGTGGTGAACTAAGAATCAAAGTGTTCAGGAAAGCGACAAATACGATGCAAGTACTGAACTTCAACAGTAACCACCCAATCAGAATAGGTAGTGCGTTAGATGCAGTGCAAGTCCTCTACCACTATATCACATGCAAGCCACATCCCAACGCTCGCCCCAATCTAGGGCACATGAAGGATATCGCTGGGGTCGACGGTCGAATTGTCGGCTACCGCAGGCACACGCTTGTTGTGCATTCAATTGCGTGATACTTAATCTCCTTGTGCCTTCTATCTGCTACCCAGTCACTTATTCTGGAAACTTTGTCTACAACGATGAAATGTAACGGAAAGGGACTGTGCATCCTGGCATGTATTTCAGTTGCGTTGCCATACTGGGTATTGGTGCTAGTTAAATATGCCACCGGCTCATCTTCTGCCCATTTTCATGCTGCTTGTAGGGTACTCCAAGGCCAGGCACTCGAACATCATCTGATTGGCCAACAAGAGTATAATGCCAACATTCATTTTGCCTGTCAAGTTGGCACCGTATCTTCTCGATTGCGTTTGCATGGAAAAACGAACTTCCGTGGAGGGTCTGTTAATTCAAATATACATGGTGCAGGAAAATTGTGGAAACGTGACTGCCCGCAACAGGTTCACAATGACAATGGTGGTAACTGCTATATCTGTGAAATAAAATAATACAACTCTTCACAAGGCACATGGAATTTTCAATAGTGAGAGACGTGGATGGTAGAACACCACGTACTCGAACGTCGTAAGACCATATAACAAGCACATTCTGAATGTAAAGTTAATGTGGACACTGTGAATATGTGCTGATTCGCAAAATCACAACTCTCAGTGAATATTTTGGTCCGGAAATACACGCAGCGAGGTAACTGAGGAGATCTCGGCCTATCGTGAATTTCCCAACGCCACGGAGTGTAGCATTTAAACGTAAACTAACGGCGTGAGAATTAGGAGAAGCATATTCTATTCACCGAAATGAAACGCACTGTGTTATTACAGGTTGACGAGAACTGACGACAACTATTTACGGAGTGACTATTCTCTATTTTCCCCAACGGCGTCGATTAGTTAACGCCTCAATGCACAGCACCGCCATCACAACACCAGCGAGGTCAGATTCAAGGACGATTAATCACTAGCAATCAGGGCGAAAACAGCATCCTTATTGTCGGTGTAGGCCCATCTGACTATATAAAGCGCAGCTGAATACCACGGAGGTTGTCTTACTCTCTGTCTCGGTTGAAGCTTCTTTAGCATGGAAGATTTCTTTGGAACATGGAAAATGAAAGACAGTGATGACCTGAGTGCGACAACTGAAAGACTGGGGGCCCAAGTATCTAAAGAGGAATTGGACCGATTGTCGAAATCGTCCCTGACCTTCTCACGTGTCGACGACCGTTACAGCATGAATGTAGATGTCGGCGCGGACTACCACGGTATGAAATTCAAGCTGGGCGAGGAGTTTGATCACACTACATTGGATGGAGAGCACGTTAAGGCAAGATCCCCGCCATTGTTTCTTCCTTTTCAATACTTGCGTTAACTGAAACATCTCTAATCTAAGTCAGTGTTATTCAACCCACAAGAGCTCAAAACCAGTTGTGGCTGCCAGTCTCAGTCAGAGGAGACAGTCCCCAGTTACGTGATGCCGCCTTGAAAATTCAAACCTGATTGACAAAGAACGGCCGAATCGTTTGATACTCACTGTTATACTTGTTTTGGCGAACTCATTAAATGGAATGATGTGTATGAATATGTGTATATGTAGCTTGTTTGCCTTCGAAAAGTTAGGATACTCAAATCGTGGATTCAGTGACCGCTACACCAGTCTTGCTTGCATCGTTTAATTCCAGGCAAATGACCGCGATGATGGATGACACAAAAGATTGACAGAGAGCAGTTTTCAAAACGAAGCATTTGTGATCATATACTTTTCAGATGCTTATAAAACTGGAAGGCAAAAAGTTGACAATTGATCAGAAAGGAGACCCAGATGTACTCGTCGAGAACGTTGTGGATGGTAATAATTTAACCATGGTAAGTATCAGTCTGTCCTTACGCCTCTTCGTTAATGTTGCAGATGATGGGGGCTTTCGCATGTAACGAGCGTGCAGAGTAAGAAAGCATGACTTCCCCCTCCCATGACCGGCCGGCCAGATTTCACGAAGGCACACTAGCAGAACAAAGACACGGTAAACAGCTGCAAGAGACTATGAAACCTGTCTGATTGATAAATTAGTAGGTCTTAAAAAGTTGCTGGCTGCCGTATTTGACAGCATATATGTCGTTGATGGGATTTCATATCAAATGAGCCGACTAACTCAAAGTGCATCAGCACTTATTTCGTATAGCCTTCGAAGGACGTTGGTGGAAAACTAGAAGGTTCCAGATTCAGAAGGCAAAAAGACAGTTATATGGACGGGTTTTACTGAGACGATGGAAGTGCACAATGGAGAAGCTCGCGACTGCCGCAGGTACAAATCGAGAGATTATGGAGTGTGCGGCTGCGAAATAAGATCCTACCGCGGAGGAAAGAGCGAGTGGGGATTGAGTGCAACTGGGATTTTCATTTGGTCAGCGTGTTTTCAGTCATTTCCCTTGTCGAAATTTCGTCCAGCAGCGCACTCATTCTCAGCTCTCTTTTTTTCCATTTTGCAGACCATGAAAGTGGGTGACGTCTCTAGTGTTCTACACTACATCAAGGCTTGAATGTACAAAGAGTAATAAAGGGAAATTTATTTTACCACAGCATTTTCTTCTGCCCTGTGTAGGGTGTTTGCATCTGTCTTGTACCATTTAAAAAGTCAATTTTGCAAACACGTGTTTACGTTAATACATTATCAGGCCAAAACACCTACATAGAAGTTGAAATTATTCGAAGTTCACAGGGTTTATAAGTGATTGATGGGCCATTAACACTCAGCGTTCCCACGTCATCAGCATGGTGATGTCGGCGTGTTATGGACATTGGGTCAAGGGGGCGAGGTGAGTGATGTTAGCAAGTCGGGTACGTCGAGCACACAGTTATATAGGAACGGGGTAGAAGTAAAACATGTCAGCGATAAGAGAAATCGATAAAAGTTCTCCTTAAAACACAGTCGGCGTGTGGGACTATGGGGGAGGGGGGGTAGTTGGGGGTAATAGTAGTCATTGACGGGGCCGGGGTGAGAACGGAAGTAGGCGGGGGGAGTTGCACCGTGAGTACACCTTATAAATCACACGATAAGCTTCGTTGGGGTCCACACGATGTCCGGAATCGATAACATGCGCGAGAATGGCGCTGCTTATACTCCTCGTTTGGCCTTTTCCCAGCCATGTTCGGAGGTGTTCGCGTATTCTCTTGGATAAGCGCCGACTCGTGCCACCAATATAACCTGCTCCACAGGAGCAAGTGAAGGAATATATGCACATTGAGGTGGTCTGCGGTGGTGGCTTATCCTTACCTCCTCCGCGTAAAATAGGGTTATTAGAGAACGATATTTGAACCCTTGCTGCTGGGAAGGTTCGCGAGACAGCTTGATCAAGGCGTCTCCTTAGGAGTTCACTCGTGGCGTCCCCTTGGAAAGGGACTTTGAGGAACAAAGTTTTCTTTTCAGCGGTCGGCGTGGCGGGTTTGACCGTTCTTTCGGCAATGTTCTTTGCAATGAACCTGTCAGGATACCCGTGTTCTTGAAGGAAGTCCTGGATTTTTCTGAGCTCCTCCTCGATGCTATCTGTTGTGCAAATTTTCCTGGCTCTTTGTGCCAAACATCGTACTAGATTTCGTTTTTGTTCGAGGGGTATGAAACAGGCAAAGTTCGTGTATTGTCCAGACCAGGTTTTTTCCGATAGACGCTTCTTCGGACACTCCCGTCGGGTCTCCTGCTTAGAAGAACATCCAAGATAGAGAGCGAATCGGCCGTTTCGATCTCCAGCGTGAATTTGATCGACGGATGTGCCTGCTTTGCCGCATCTAAGAGGGTAGCTACGTCGGTTTCTGCATTGGCAATTGCAAAGATATCATCAACATCGCGACCGTAATGTTTAAGCTTATCGATCTGATCGCTAAGTTGGAATCTCTCTAATTTGCCCATGAAGACATCTGCAAGGAGAGGTCCAAGGGCTGAGCCCATAACAACGCCGTATACTTGTCTATAGAGTTGGTTGTCGAACAGGAACTGCACATTTAATGTGCATCTTAGTAATAGTTCCTTGAGTGTCTTCGTCGGCATTCCTATTTCCTGCTGATTGTCCGATAGTAATCAACCGTCTCGGTGACCGAAGCGTTTTTAAAAAGTGATAAGACGTCCGGCGAGAACATCACCACGCCGTTGACGTTAAGGCCTTTGATGTCATCAGTGAATTCAAGGGTATCTCGGTAGCTGCGTGGTGCTAGCTGACGCTGCACGGGCTTGAGTTTCTCTGCTAGCCACTTTGCTTTCGCATGATACGGAGAGTTTCGCATGTCTAGGATTGGACGGACTGGCAGGCCTTCCTCATGGATCTTAGGTAGACCATATAGTCGAGGGATATGTGTGCCGACTGATCGGAGGTGTTCTAGGTCACGGTCGCTCATGTGACCCCCTGTGTGGAGCCTTCATGGACATTCAGTCAGTTTCGTCTCTACTTCTTCCGTGCAATCCTTTTCTTTGTCTACCTTCCTGAATTTCTTCTAGTCTGATAATATAGACTGTATCTTCTCTACGTAGTCCGATCTATTCATTATAACGACGTCTGTCCCTTTGTCCGTTCTAGTTACCAAGATATCTTTGTTCTCTCGAAGTTCTTTTAACTTTTCCACATGTGCTTTTGTCAGTAATCCTCGGCTTTTGGCCCCTTGTTCAGGTACTGATAACTTCAATTCACCAATGTTGATTTAAAGTGTTCGATACTGTTTGTGGAAGTGGACACTAGATCATAGGTTTGGTTCCGTAGGTTCCCGAACTGAGTTTCCAATTCTAACTGATTAACTATTTGACGAGATATGCAAAGCTTAGGACCAAGGGATAATGCGTCAAGTGATGTTTTATCAAGTGTCATATTAGAGTGGTTGTGTACGTACCGACTTGGATCTTTCGGAAACCGTGATTGTGATTTCATTTCATGTACACTTCTAAGGAGCGCAGAACTTTTCGCCTCTCCGCGTCTTCTTCCTATGGATTGAGTGTAGCCGTCGAATTCTTGTTTTCGTCGTCTGTCAGGGTGTCTAGGACGGCTGTGCGTTGACACACGTGACGCTTCAGTTCTTCTATCTTTCCGAGGGTACTTTCCAGTTAATTCTCAGCGTATATTTTCAGAGTTTCTGCGGTAAGAACCGTACGGCTACGCCGCAGTGCTCTACAGTAAGTTCTCTATCGAAAATACTATAGCGAGTTTGTGGGGATGTCAATGTGGCAGAATAGAAAGCCCAGGGTTGGATGCCAGTGGGCGTTTGTTGCTGAAGGGCAGCACCTATAGAGAAGTTGGAGGCGTCGGCCACAATGGAAAGTGGGGCATCAGTTATAGGGTGAAGAAAGGCAGTTGTATCCGCAAGAGCCTTCCTAGCACGATCGAAAGCCGCAACAGCTGTGTCAGGAAAAGAAAACTCGCGGTTGTTCCCGCGTAAAGGTCGGCAAGTGGCAACATTAATTGAGCACAATGAGGGATATAGCGTCGATAGAAATTGACAAGGCCTATAAAACAGCGCAGATGTTGAAAGGAAGTGGGAGTAGTGAAATCGCGAATAGCTGAAACTTTGGCACCTATGGGATGACAACAAAATGCATCTACGCGAGGTCCTAGGAAAAACAGCGACCGTACACCAAAAACGCATTTAGAAACCTTGATGAAAAAGCCAAATTGGCTCAATCGTTCAAAAATTAGATGTAAATGTTGTAGATAGGTCAGTATATAGGTCAGTAAATTTTAAGGGTAATAGGCAATGCCTTTGAAAACCCTATTGTAACCGGTACATGCATTATGTAACTTTAAATAAACACGGTACTAAAATGTTGTCAGTAGTATATACACTTAACATAATATTTTTCGTTGGGAATGCAGGACCAAAACTCCAACACATTCAGTTGTAGCTAATATCGGTAAAATGCACTGACAGTCATCCGCATTAGCGGTAGGTGTATGAAAGTCGTTGGTTTGGCACCACAGAGCTGTTCTGTCCAGACAAGTGTTATTGTCCATCTAGTATTTGCTTGAACGTCCCCGTGAATGGGGTATATGTTCGCCACTTTCCAATCAGAGGGGAGAATGCCTCGGTCAAACGACGACCCTGAGATTGCAAACGCGGTCTGACAAGTTCGTGTTCACTTGCACGTGCTACCAGAACATCGTCGACGTAGACAAAAGAGAAAGGTAAGTCGCGGAGGGCTTCGTTGATGAAACGCTGAAAAATTTGAGCGGAGTTGCGTAGCCTAAAAGACATCCTGACAAACTCGAACAGACCAAACGGTATGGTAATCGCCGCATTGGGAACGTCTTCTGGAGCAACGGGTATCTGATGGAAAGCTTTGACTAAGTCAATCTTGGAAAATATAGTTGCTTCGGCTAGGCTAGATGAAAAGTCGTGGAGATGGGGAAGTGGATACCTGTCAGGCACAGTGGAGGTGTTTAACCGTCGGTAATCCCCGCATGGGTGCCAGTCAACGAGAGACTTTTTGCACACCATATGTAGAGGTGAAACCCATGGACTAGTGGAAGGCATGACTATGCCTAGTTCCATCACGTGAAATGAATTCAGCCCTAGCTATGGCTAAACTATCGGCAGCTAAACGACGGGGACGGCTAAACACGAGTGGTCCAGCAGTTGAAATATAATGTACAACAGAATGCTTGATAGGTCGGTTAACTTGTGAGGGTCGTGTGATAGATGGGGATTCCGAAAGTAAACGATGATAGGGTGTAGACGAAGGGATTGTTGAAATGCGTGGATTAGGTGATGAAAGGGTACGAGTGGAGTATTTGCAGTGTAAAGAAGTCTTAGGGTGAAGTAGTCAAAGGGACTTGATGAAAACGAGAAGACCGAAAAAAGGATACAAAATCAGCGTCGAGAATGGTGGTATGAACATTTAGCGACAGTAAATAGCCAACGAAATGAACGTCTTATACCCAAATCTAGCATAAGGGATCGTTGACCAAAAGTTTTTATAGAAGTCCTGCTATCTGCTTGGAGGAAAATGAAGAGTCTGGTGACTTACGGTCGTTAAGGCGGGTGGGATTGGGCTGATCTCCGCGCCAATGTCCACGAGAAAATGACGTCAGGAACTCCTGTCATAGATGTGGAGTAAGCGACTGAGAGAGGACGAGCCAACAACGTTCGTCGTCGTCTTTACTGGAAAATTTTCAACGCAGGTGTCTTGTACTTGCATGTAGAGTGACAGCGATGGGTGTTAGAACCATACTTATGATGATAACAACAGAAACCATCAACCGTAGGTTGGTTTGGAGTGACATATCTCGGACGGCGAGTAATTGCAGGACTACGACGGTTATAGACACGAGTGTCCCGGAGCTGGGAAACTTCGAGAGTGAGCGCATCCAGGCACATGGTGGATATCGCTGGGGTCGACGTTCGATCCAATTCCTCTTTTTGCGACCCGGAGTGCAATTCCCAGGCCAGCTCGTTGCCGCGGTGCGAATATTCGCTCTGCCCGATAGGGCTGAATGCGTTCGCATCTGGCCGAAGCACGTGGACTAGATCAGGATGAGGCACGCCTTATTATAAATAAATAATTTTTCTTAAGGACCCGTCGGGATCCAATCAAAGCTGAGACAAACGATGCACAAGGCACATAGTCTGGCAGCGTGGGATTCGAACCCACGCCCTTTCGGCCTCATGCCATAGACCGGCGCCTAAGACCGCTCGACTGACAACCATGACGAATCCCATACATAGGGGATGTTTTGGTACATCAAGCCGCAGGTTGATGCCGCGCCAGTCACCTGACCCTGATCCCGCTTCCAATCTTTTTGACTTTCTCAAGACACCAGGATCATGTGAGTGAAGAGTGGGTAGTGCGTTAGAAGCAGTGCAAGTCCTCTACCACTATATCACATGCAAGCCACATCCCAACGCTCGCCCCAATCTAGGGCACATGGTGGATATCGCTGGGGTCGACGGTCGAATTGTCGGCTACCGCAGGCACACGCTTGCTGTGCATTCAATTGCGTGATACTTAATCTCCTTGTGTCTTCTATCTGCTACCCAGTCACTTATTCTGGAAGCTTTGTCTACAACGATGAAATATAACGGAAAGGGACTGTGCATCCTGGTATTTATGTCAGTTGCGGTGCCATATTGGGTTTTGGTGCTAGTTAAATTTGCTACCGGCTCATCTTCTGCCGAATGCAGAAGCCTTTTGTCATGCTGTTTGTAGGGTACTCCATGGCCATGTACTCGAACATCATCTGATTGGCCAACAAGAGTAAAATGCCAACATTCATTCTGCCTGTGAATTTGGCGCCGTCTTTTCTCGATTGCGTTTGCATGGAAAAACAAACTTCCGTGGAGGGTCTGTTAATTCAATAATTCATGGTGCGGAAAATTGTAGAAACGTGACTGCCCGCAACAGGTTCACAATGACAATGGTGTTAACTGCCATAGCTGTGAAATAAAATAATACAACTTTTCACAAGCCACTTGGTATTTTCAATAGTGATGGACGTTTATGGTAGAACACCACGTACTCGAACGTCGCAAGACCATATAACAAGCGTTTTCTGAATGTAAAGTTAGTGTAGGCTCTGTAAATATTTTTAAGAAGAACACACGATCGCCGAGACAAGACCCTAATTAGCCTAACGTTTCGGATTCCTGCTCGAATCCATCATCAGAAACAAAAGCAGATAAGGGTGGTTCATGCACATGTGGCTGCAGTATTTATAGGATGCAGTAGCCATGCTACCGCATACCTATGAATGCTCACGGCTCCCTCCCCTTCATCAGGGATCGTTGCACGTGGCGTGATGGCCGACATTCGCGTCGTTAATCGCTGCAATTTCATCACGTGCGTTGGATGTTGGTGTGATGACTGCTCGACCATCTGACGCGCTGACCCGAGTGTTGGGAAGAGTGTTCACCAGTGCACTCCCCGCGTGGCCAATTACTCCGCCTAGACGAAGACTCAGCACAGTGTATTGAATGGGAAGATCATTGCACTTGTTAATAGACTGGAGGCCAGTAAACCATGACTCAAGCAGCTCCCGGTTCACGCGGTTGTCACCTCTTGCGAGAATTTCGGCCTCGTCATGGTATCTTTTGATTTTACATCCCTTTTTACTTCTGTTCCCCAGGACCTGGCGATTGCGACAATCGAGCTACTTCTACAAAGCAAATACGATGAAACGGAGAATCTCGTTAAATTCAAAACGGCACGGAGTGTCGCATTTAAACGTAAACTAACGGCGTGAGAAACAGGAGAAGCATATTCTATTCATCGAAATGAAACGCACTGTCTTATTAGACGTTGCCGAGAACTGACGACAACTATTTACGCAGTGACTATTCTCTATTTTCCCCAACGGCGTCGATTAGTTAACGCCTCAATGCACAGCACCTCCATCAAAACACCAGCTAGGTCAGACTCAAGGACGCTTAATCACTAGCAATCAGGGAGAAAACAGCATACTCACTGTCGGTGTAGGCCCATCTGACTATATAAAGCGCAGCTGAATACCACGGAGGTTGCCCTACTCTCTGCCTCGGTTGAAGCTACTTCAGTATGGAAGCCTTCTTTGGAACGTGGAAATTGAAAGACAGTGATGACGTGAGTGTGATAGCTGAAAGCCTGGGGGCCAAAATATCTAAAGAGCAATTGGCCCAAATGTCGAAATCGTCCCTGACCTTCTCACGTGCCGACGACGGTTACAGCATGCATGTGGAAGTCGGTACGAAAACCCACGATACGAAATTCAAGCTGGGCGAGGAGTTTGAGCACACAACATTGGATGGACGGCACGTTAAGGCAAGAGCCTGCCCTCTGTTCATTCCTTTTCAATACTTGTGTTACTGAAACATCTCTAAGTCAATTCTTTGATATTCAGCCCAAAAGAGCTCATAGCCAGTTGTGGCTACCAATCTCAATCAGAGGAGACAGTAATCCAATTCTCACTGTCCGCTGTTATGTGATTCCGCTTGGAAAATTCAAATATGGTTGACAATAAACGGATGAATTGTTTTATACTTACTGTTATACTTATTCAGCGGAACTCATTAAATGAAATGATGTGTATAAATATTTGTATATGTAGTTTGCTTGCTTTCGAAAAGTTAGGATACTCAAATCGTGGATTCAGTGACCGCTCCATCACTCCTGATTGCCTCGTTTAATTCCAGACAAATGGCCGCGATGATGGATGACAGAAAAGATTGACAGAGAGCAGTTTTAAAAACAAAGCATTTGTGCTCATATACTTTTCAGATGCTTATAAAACTGGAAGGCAAAAAGTTGACAATTGATCAGAAAGGAGACAAAGAAATGCTCATTGAGAACGTTGCGGATGGTAATAATTTAACCATGGTAAGTATCAGTCTGTCCTTACGCCTCCTCGTTCATGTTACAGATGATGGGGGGCTTTCGCATGTAAGGATCGTGTAGAGTAAGAATGCATAAATTCCCCTGGCCGGCCAGATTTCACGAAGGGCACACTACCAGAACAAAAACCCTGGCAAACAACTGCAAGAGACAGTGAAATCTGCCTGATTCATAAATCTGTGTGTCTTTAACGGTTGCTGGCTGCCGTATTTGACAGCATATATGTCGTTGATGGAATTTCATATCGGATGAGCTGACTGACTCAAAGTGCATCAGCAGTTTGAGTCAGTAGAGCCTTCGAAGGACGGTGGTGGAAAACTCGAAGGTTCAAAAGGCAAAAGAAGACAGTTATATGGACAAGATTTACTGAGACGATGGAAGTGCATAGTGGAGAAGCTTGCGACTGCGGCTGCGAAATAAGATCTTACCACGGAGGAAAGAGCGCGTGGGGATGTAGTAAAACTGGGATTTTCATTTGGTCATCGATTTTTCAGTTATTTCCCTTGCCGAAATTTCGCCCAGCAGCGAACTCCTCCTCAAATTTCTTTTTTTCCATTTTTCAGACAATGAAAGTGGGTGACGTCTCTTGTGTTCGACACTACATCAAGGCTTAAATGTACAAAGATTAATAAATGGAAATTTATTTTACTACAGCATTTTCTTCTGCTCTGTGGATGAGATGTGCACGGGGTTGGAATCTGTCCTTTAACCATTTGAAAAGTCAATTTTGTAAACACGTGTTTTTGGTAATTCATCATCAGCCCAAAACAACTACATTTAAATTGAAATAACGCGAAGGTTGCAGGGTGTTTAAGCGACTGACGGGCTATTAACACTCGGCGTTCCCACGTTATCCGCATGGCGAGGTCGGCGTTATTGGGTCAAGGCGGAGGGGGAGGGTGACATAGGCTGAAAAATGTTTGTAAGTCGGGTACGTTGAGCACACATCGCTGCCATCAGGAGGTTGGGGCAGCGTGTAATCATCATCTGAGGTCGGCGTTGGCCACGGAAGACATAGCGCCTGTGTCAATGTCTTCTGACACATAGCACTGGAATGGCTAGCCGTATATAGTGTTACCAGATCCTGAGTCAGTTATAAAATTCGTGAACTTCGCATGATTTTAATTTCTATGCAACTATTTTGGCCTGATGATGAGTTACCGAAAGCACGTGTTTGTCAAATTAACTTTTCAATTATAACACGGGAATATTGACAGAACTTTTACCATTTAGCGGTTAGTAGCCTGCCTCAACGCATAGTCGCACTTCCAACTGAATCGTCTATTTCAACGACCTACCCCTTCCATATTCGATGCTGAGTCTTCACCTAGGCGGATTTATACGCCACGCGGAAAGCGCGCAGGTGAACACTGTTCCCGACGCCAGGATCGGTGGGTCAGATTGTCGAGCAATCATCACACCAACATCCAACACACGTCATGAAATTGCAGCAATTAACGACGCCATTGTCGGCCATCAAACAGTCATCACACCGTTCGCACCATTTGGGGTTGGAGTTGCACACAGACCGGAGGCAACCATCAGGCGTCAGTTGATGAAACCGAAAGACCACTACCACGGCAAGAAACGTCTGGAGTCGTTTACCGGATCTGGTGCTGTTGCGGACAAAGCGACTACGTCGAAGAAACCGGAAGATAACTCCAAACGCGAATGGCCGAACACGCTGCAGAGGTGCGGAGAAATGACGCCAGCTCTCAAGTTGCGGCTCATTCGACGGGTTCCGGCCACAAATTCAAATTTGCCGAGACCGAAATTCTCGCAAGAGGTGACAACCGCGTGAGCCGGGAGCTGCTTCAGTCATGGTTCATTGGCCCCCAGTCTATTAACAAGTGCAATGATCTTCCCATTCAATACTCGGTGCTGAGACTTTGCCTAGGCGGAGTAATTGGCCACGCGGGGAGCGCACAGGTGAACACTCTTCCCAACACCCGGGTCAGCGCGTCAGATGGTCGAGCCATCATCACACCACCATCCAATACACGTGATGAAATTGCAGTAATCAACGACGCGAATATCGACCACCACGCCACGTGCAACGATATCTGATGAAGGGGGGAGGGAGAGCTGTGATTATTTATGGGAATGCGGTAGCATGGCTACTGCATCCTATAAATACTGCAGCCGCATGTGCATGGACCACCCTTATCTGCTTATGTCTCTGATGATGGATTCGAGCAGGAATCCGAAACGTCAGGCTAATAAAGCTCTTGTCCCGGCGATCGTGTCCTCTTCTTCTTCTTCAAGACTGCTTCCTGAGACTCGTCTCTTCGCTTCCGTTGGCAATATAGAGGTTTGCACATCATCCATGTAACTGATCAGCCTACACTGACGTCACCGTCCCTATCCCGTTTGTTTACCTAACAAACCGTCAGTATTTAAAATACGCATTGACCGAGAGCATATGAACATGGAGTCAGGCAATTTTATTTTGGGTCGTTAAATGCTGCATGTTGTCCTACCTTTGTTTGGAAAACAATTTCCATCACTAATTCTAACCTTGATTAGTTAATTTCGAATAATTTCAACAATCGACTTAAATCGACCTGCATTCAAGACCGCTTGCAACTTGTTTAACAGAAATTGCCAAATCCTATCTCACACATTTTAAATAGAATTTCGATTGAAGTCATATTTTAAGAAGATATCCGTCAATAGCAGTACTCGTACGTCATTTCCGACATAATGAAAATTCCAGCTTATGATCATGCATTATGCCAGCCACACTAAAGTGACGCGCATGTTTCCGAAATATGTTTACTGTTGTCATGACATAGACCATATTTAACAGGAAATATACCCTCTATACAAGACAGACGTCTTATTCTATGTCGATGGATGCGCAATGAAACATTTCCGGTTCTTACACAATCTTCGCGGGTAACTCACATTACTCTGCCTACAGCTGTGGACAGGCATTTTGTAAAGCACGGTATAATGGAACGGGGATGAATCACTTGGGATTTTTAGTGAACAAAAACGAAGGATTAAGCAATAATGATCTGACCAAAGAAGCATGGAGGGACATCACAAACACTGAAATAGGCCTTTCCGTAAACAAATAACTTCGATTTCTAGGGAACTCATATTACACACGTGCTTTTGATGCATACATTCCACGAGAAAACATTGAGGATATAAATGCCTTGAGGAATGGAGGCGTAAATAAACGCCACCGAAATCAATCTCACTTTGGTGCGTATTTTCCGCAGATCTTTTCCACTACGCCCAGCCAAACACAACGGGGCCACTCTGTTGGAATTGGCTTGGCGCTACGCTACCTGCTAATTAGTATTCAACTTTCGTTAGAATAGTCTTTTCTACTCGGGAGCTGTGGCGACCGTTGCATACTGGTGCAACTGACGGGTGCATCTAGGGCTCCCCGAACCACGCATGAAATAATGCAGGTAGATGGGCACCGGAAAAACAAACCCAATTTGTTATTCACTTGCCAGCCTGATGCTGCCAGGCACATTTGTTATTCCATTGCACCTGACACTGGCAATCAATGCCAACGAAGACGCTGCCGGTCACAGCGGAGCATTTACGACTGGTCTCTCAGTAGCCTGCCCTCGCTTTTAGGGGTCTGGGTCTGAGTTAAGGTTAAATCTTATGCGCAGCATGATGTCTCTTCTTGTTTACGAATACATCTTGTCTTCCCCGTCCCTCCCCCCTCCCACACCGTCGCGTATCTCACACAGCACGTGAGCGCGCAGGTTGTTATACATATCAGCTAGCAAAAAATTCAAAATCGGGAGAGGGCCTCCAAGCATGGTGCCTAGAAAGAATACCTACTATAGCTATTTGAGTAGGCATTAGCCGTACATATTTGTTGTTTCATCTGACCTGCAGTCGTCGGCGTGCTGCCTCACTTACACTATCATAGCCTTTTTCCTTTTCTTTTCCTTCGACTGCCTATGCAGACACCAGGGTAATTTGACTCATGTGGATCACTAGTCTAAGAATACAGTTAATCCTCTTTACGAGAGGAACAGGCGCACTAAACTGCGTCACTCTGTTGGAATTGGCTTGGCGCTACACTACCTGCTGAATAGTTTTCAACTTCCGCTGGGGTAGTCTTTTCCACTCAGGAACTTGCTAACTATCTTTTTCCTGTGGCGACAGTTGCATACTGGTGCAATTTACAGGTGAACGTAAGGCGTCCCGCGCCACGCACGAAATAATGGAGGTAGATGGGGACCGGAAAAACAAATCAAATTTGTTATTAAATTTTACATTTCAGAATTTTAGTCAACGTTTAGTGAGATAGCCTACCTAATGCTACTAATGAGCCAGTCTGAAGCTGCCAGGTACATTTCTCAGTAGCCTGCCTTCGTTTAATGGATCCGAAGTCAGGGTAGCAGCTTCAGCATAACTCTCAGACGTAGCAGGATGTCTCTTCCTGTACCCCCCCCCCCCACAACCCGCACAGTAAGTGAGCACGTAGGTTATGTCTCAAAATGAATATCAGACAGCAAAAAATTTTAAAAATCGAAATCCTCCACTACATTGACTGCAAATGTAGACGGAAAGGTAAATTCGCTCATGTGGACCATCGATTTAAAAAATACAGCTAACCCCCTTTTCAGTAAAAATCCTAATCTCGAATATTGCTGACCAATGTTGGAAACACCTAACACCTATCAACATGCCTCATCGACCAACTGACGACCAGGAAGCTCGTCCGATTGGTCAGTCCTCACCTTCAAGTCCGCCGTCATGTCAACTTACCCGACCCGCTGATCCCCGCACAGACCGTCGCTGTCACCATAGCAGATGTCAACCCATCCACTTACTCGTCCAGCCTCTCCACCCACATCAGCGGTACCGATACAAGCGAAGATGCGAGTTTCAGGAACTAGTGGATAAGAAGCAGAAGCGATCGCTCGAACAAGGGATCTAATCGCCTGACGTTTCGGATTCTTACTCGAAGCCATCATCAGAAGCAGTGACAGAAGCGGGTGACATACGTGACGAACGACAAAATCGTTCCCGACCCCAAATTCTGGCTAGCGATCCCGTGCATCAAGAACGTCTCCGGGGCCGTTAGTCGCCTTCTTGCCTCATTTGGGGTTGGAGTTTAACACAGACCGGACGCCACCATAAGGCGTCAGGTGCTGAGACCAAAAGACCCACTGCCACAGCAAGCAACACCTGGAGTCATTTACTGGATCTGGTGCAGTTGCGAGCAAAGCAACTACGTCGGAGAAACTGGAAGACTGCTCCGGACGGGAATTGCCGAACACGTGGCAGCGATGCGGATGTCACGGTCCATTTGACGACACCCGGCCACACATTCAAGTTTGATAAGGCCGAAATTCTCACGAGAGGGGATAATCGCGGGAGTGGCGAGTTGCTTGAGTCATGGTTCACAGGAGATCAGTCTATCAATAAGCGCAACGACATCCCCACTTCATATTCTGTGCTGGGGCATAGGCTGGCCAAGGTAATTGACCTTTCGGAGGGCGCGTAAGCCGGTGAGCCAGATGGCCGAGTAATCATCACGCCAGAATCCAAAACGGGTGATGAGATTTCAGTAATTGGCAACTCGCATGCCGGTCATCAAGCAATTAGCGCACTAGCGGGCAACAATTCTTGAAGGGGAGCGCGGTTGGTTACTACCCTAGTAGCAAACTATATCGAGTAGATATCTATTTATCGAGACTCATATATCGACTGGATATATATTTTGTCGCAAAAATAGATATCTATTAGATATTGATTAATCGAGATACTACGCTATCGGCGAAAAGGGGGGGGGGGGTAATATGTTACGCGTGGAATCGTTCGCTTAACCCAATGCCTTTTCTACTCCCCATCCATTCCTTGCCGTATGTTTATTCCCCCCCCTCCCCCGTTTACCCAGAGTTATATTGGAGACGGTTTTATTGGAATATGTTTATTTAAAAAATTGAAATTAATATGTACAAAGGTTTGCTGAACCCCTTCTGTGTTCACACTGTTCACGCAGGCGGGGAATCAGTCGAAGAGCCGGGTGTATTGTCTACAAGTTAAAATTAATTACTGATAAGCGGCAATCAATTCACCACTGTCATCTTGCGTCAGTTGTGACTTGTTCTTACGCTGGACACAACTGTCGAGCGACCTTTTAAGGTATGCGGTAGCATAGCGACTGCATCCTATAAATAATGCAACTTCCTGTGCACGAGTCGCCCGTTTCTGACACTGTCTCTGATGATGGGGGTCAAGTGAGAATGCGAAACGTCAGGCGAATAACGGCCTTGTTCCAGCGATCGCTTCTACGTCTTATCAGCCAGCAGTACGACTGGCATCGCGGGTTCAGTCCCCACCTGCCCGCATTGTGGTTTCGCTTTTGCAGCCCACACCGTCCTTTTCTGTGTCACAGTGTGACCGTCGAGTCACTGCCGGAAGCGCCTATATACACCTGTCACGCCCGCCTCACCTGTCCAAACTGTCCCAGGACGGTTGGTCATCGCAGAGACCTGCTCGGCCGTATGCATCTCCGTGAAATTTTTTTAATAAAAACCGCAGCGCAGACCCCATCATCACACCTCTCGCTGCCTGCCCACACCGACCGCCGATTTCGGCGATGTCTACCGTGTGCTGGACAGCAGGGTGGGAGCAGGGACGGTGACTTGTGCAAAACATTAGTTTATAGCGATAGTGGACTTGCACAGCATCTACCGCACTCCCTCCTACTCCTCCACCTTGACCCGGTGTCTAGGCAGAGCCAAGAAGACTGGAGGGGGGGGGGAGGAAAGCGCAGGTGGATGGCACGGTCAAGCCCGCATCTTGCCCTTCCACTCCACACAGCAAATAACCAGGTTTTTGATTAACAACAACAATGGGGGAGTGGCAGGGATCCCAGTGTGCGCGACGCACTCCGGCAGCCGGGTTCGCCACCGCACCCCAAAAGTGTTAGCAGTTGTTACGGTGCGCAACTCCGATAACGCCTGCCAGAGTCCAATATGGACCCCGTGTTGGTCCAGTGCATCTAACACATTGCCCGTTTGGGGAGCACACCAAAATCATCATCATCATCATCATTAACAACAACCGACTGACAGGCTCCGATAATCGACCGGCACCGGCATGAGCGAGACAAGCATTGGAAATTCATCCCCACGGGAAAGCACGGCATTCCTCATATAACTCTTTGGAGCTAAGTGTATTGGTGTGGAAGGATGCTAACTGGTGGGATAAGTCGGTCTTTTTCAGCACTGAGCTCCTGACAGCAGTGGCCCTTTTTGAATGTGGTCTTCATGGTAGTCCCGCTGATAGGAGATCGGGATAACCCCTCCAATCGTCCGGACCAGGCTATGGGCCCTGTCAGCCACCGCGGCTAATCTGATTGCCATTCGGTCTAGAAGCTCAAACAGTTGGCTGACGTATGAGCTCACTGCTGTCATCCGAAGTAAGTGAGGAGTGCAAAAAGACCACTTAGAAACATCCGGGGAGTGTTGTCGATGCTACCGAAATTCCAAACAAAAAACAGTCTGTGAAGCCTCGCCTCCCGTGGCACAACCAGCCAACTCGAGCATCACGTAGTCACCCACAGCTGACGGCTACGTCCAGCCGCACCCTTCATCATTTACTACTCCATTAAGTTATTCGGTTCACAGAACCCTAGCCGAAGCAAGCATAGAATGGCGAACTCCCCTCCCCATCCTATCGATCGGGTTTCGATGAAACGCAGATGTCTTATCGCTGAAGGATGCACCTACCCGCATAAGATGTCTCCCCCTCTTCTTTTCAAACTATATCGCAATGATTAGTGCATAGTACCTTGTTGGTCGTCGAGATGTGTGGCATATAACTACATAGACGCATGCATTGCTCGGGTAGAATGCAATTATGTCAGGGGAACTTGAGCTATCCCGTCTTTACGACAATCGCCGCACCCTCTCCTACCTCATCCAGTCAGGACTGCCGGAGGTGAACTCGGCCGAAAATGCTAGGGCCCGTCTGCGCGCGCCACACACGAGCTTTTTGGAAACAAGGGGGCGTCGGATCCCATCTAAGAGGGAGTGCCAGTGTTGAGAACCTCAGACTGTTGGCTGATGCATGTAGTTGTGGCGGCTAGCCATCATGACTGGCCCGGCGTCATTGTTCAAGACCTCGCTGCCTCAAGGTCATTCACCACCTGCAGCGAGCCGTCCCAGACGAGCTGACCTGAAGTCACACGACCAACGACTCGGGCATACCTGCGTCCGCGCAGTCGCAGCTGCCCATGCGGCCGCTTGAACGTGCCATCCCCCTGCAACCAGCAAAACAAACCACTGGCACTCCACCCCTCGGAAAATGTAGCACACGCTGACTGGCCACCACTAGAGCTTGGCCCACGAGCCTATAAAAGCGGCTGCCACAATTATCTCGATGACTCTCAGGCATGACTGGACGCAGTCAACATCAGCCCTGGCTTCGCCAGTGGCCACTGCCGCCTGAGAGGACAACTCCGGGTTCTGTGCACGATAAACCCCTCATTCTGGTGCCTTCTGTCTTCTTCCTTCCAATCTGGGATTTGGCCTGATAATTGTAGCGCACAGAGCACTTACTCTCTCTGCTGGGCCGCTACATAGTCACCTCTGCCATCCAAAACGAGTGTGACCTCGAGGTAAGTGAGGAATGCAAAGAAGACAAGGACTATCCATAAGCAGTCGGAGAAAGTTATCGATGCTGCCAAAATCCCTAACAAAGGACAGACGATGAAGTCTCCTCTCCCGTAGGATAACTCACACACACACACACACACACACTCGACTACTACGTAGTCACCAGGAACTCACGACTACGTAGAGCCGCTCCCTCCATTTTCCACCGCCCCAGTAAGTCCCTCAGTTGGCAGAACTTTAGGCAAAGCAAGCAGAGAATGTTGGTCCACCTACTGCGGATCCCGTAACTCCAACATGAGATTGTTTTCCGTCCAACAATAGCTTGTTTAATGGCGTGCTTTCCGAATTCATGGATCAATCTCTAGAATACTGTCAAACTTCCAATAGCGATAGACCCTCTGGAGCCAGTATGAAGATTACATAAACTGAAACGACCGTTATTTCAAAGTTATCTGCTGATCCAGGGTGCCTGGAAAACAGTGATGGGTTTCTGAATGGTACTCAAGGAGGACAAAATGTTTGGAAAATACTTTATTTGCCAGCTTCATGTGGGCTCGTTTGACAAAGGCGAACAGAAATTATCAGGATGAGAAATATTTGAGTATGAGGAAGAGTGTTTGAGGGTTGCAGCGTAGAATGGCGCAGGCGTCATTGTGGAAGTGGCGCACTTGCGAGAAGGTAGAGCAGCGTTGAGGCTTGTGGTCCAGTCTAAACCGCCGCCCAGGACGCCCGCAAGTGCCTGGAAAACATGCATAAGGCTGAGAACCTTGCGCCCGGAGAGAACGATTCCGGTACGGTCAAGAGGTAAACGAGCTGTCCGATGGCCGCGCTCAGAGGCCTAAACAGGAAGCCGATTATTTTAACTCGCCAAACACGTTTACTAATTATGCACAAGTAGCAAATTTTATAAAAGTAATACCTGACGGTGGCAGAATCCTACATGAGAATTATGATCCACCAGACCGCCAATAACGTAAACATCGTCGGAGGTAAATTTTGGTCCTTCCTCACCGCCACTGTTCACTCCAGGGGAAATAAACTCGTCCGGAAGCTCATCGTCAGCTTCGGCGCAGAGGTAGACGATTGAAGTTGCTGGGAAAAGCTCGGTGAAATCTTCCTACAAGGAACGGGGAAGGAGAACGAAAACGAGTAACAGGATAGAAGCAACTTGGTAGATCTGAAGGCGGCCGAAAAGACTGGCACGGTCAAAGTACCATTTTCAGGAAGAGGTCCCAGTTCTCTGCGCTGACCAGGTTCAGTCGAGATAGGGTACTCTTCGAGGCCGGGGGACGCGTCGTGACGCAACCGGCGGCCTGCTCCGAAGTGCTCCTTGAAGACGCAGCCTCAGGGACATTCGGCTGGCACTGCTCGGTGATCGGCGAAGGCGTTGAACTCTCCCTAAAGGCGGAGCCGAGTCCAGTGACGTAGAGTTGGACAGGGGAGGGCAGATGTCGATTAATGGAGTAACAGTTTGAGATCTGTGCGGGAATCGGGATGGTAAGAAGATAAGTGTTTAGATGTTAGAAGGATAACCTGGGAGATTCCTGAGTCTCCAATATAAAACTCGCTGTTTGGTTGTGAGGCAACCGCGCAATCGCCCAACTTTTTATAATGGCGTATCCTCCTTGATTTTTCGTCACTCCCGAATATGCGCCCTACATTCAGCCCATATAGCAAGCAATTAGCTGATCAACACTCAGCTGTTCACTTCTTCATGCCGGTGCGTACATGTCCGACTAACGTGAACACCACTCCACACCGCGATTGGTGCCCTTCCGAATGGGGGCTTTGCTCTGACACGCAAGCAGACAGCCAACTCACGGCAATCTTCCCTGTGTACAGAATAAACCTGTTTTCATAGCTCCTTGAATGAAATTATTGTGTGCGATCACAGTTGAGCCTACATCCTTGACTGCCACGGTTGGACCAAACCAGGGGATATGACAGAAGTCTAGCATGCGTCATTTAGAGGTAGCAAGTCACGTCAGTCAGTTGGTTAGACTTGGACTACGCCAGCTGGTCAGATCGTCGTGTCTGGAAAATTCACTACCGCGCCAACGAGTACCAGTTTAGTCGATCCAGCACCCACTTCCTCACAATAACGCGTCCTAAACTTATTACTAAAGGCAGGAAATCGTTGCTCTGATGAGACCCTCCCTTGCGATGAAGATAAGGACGAGGCCGCAACGGCTGCTGCTGCTTGATGGCATCTGTCGCCGAGGCGTGATCCGCCATATTGAAGTCAGCCTCGTACACCTTTATGAGCAGATAGCTGACACGCACAAATGCGGGTACTACAGTGAGTGACCGATCGCATGGAATGTTGGCTGAAATTTTGAAATGCGTTTTCGATTAAGAAGGATTACTTGGGTGCGTTGCAATACTTATTATCTTGCGGCATAATCTTATAACATTTCGGACTCGGCAGAATGTCAGCTTTTGAATATACTGCTTTTCAACCTCCTGTAGAAACTGCTCCGAATGATTTGGAGCCTGATCATTCGCTGCATTAGCGTTTAGTGATTTCAGTCTAAAAGGTGCATACGTTCCGCGCAAAATCACATACTTTTCTATGCCATTAAAAAGATATCATACAGAGTCCATGAAATTTCGCAATGAATGCGGAACATGTTGTACATTTCATGAGGAGCAGTGGTAAACGTCCAGGTACGATGCTATGTGAATGGACATTGTGCGGTCTTAAAAATCTCATAATTAGAAACTTTTTTAAAAACCTAATTATACTCCTTTCTTGAGTATAAAATATAAAGATGACGTGATTCTCTATTAATTGACTGAAAGAAAGTATATTTTTGTTTATGATTTCTATAAGATATATTTGAATTTGCAAGACAATCGAAAATCAATTGGGGAAAATGCATGCTACTTAAGAAGTCATTTTTTACCGAGTACGGTTTCTACAGGAGATTGAAAAGCAGTGCATTCAAAAGCTGACATCCTACCAAGTCGGAAATATTATAGGAGCTTGCCGCAAGATAATCATTGTTACAACCCCACCTAAGTAATCCTTCCCAATCGAAAACGCACTTCAGAGTTTCAGTCAACATTCCATGAGATCGGTCACTCACTGTATGTTGTGGGAGGCTGGAAGGAGAGTGGGTGAGTGAGTCGTGTGCAAGGTAACACCACCCAGGGAGGCCGCAGTGGATCAACATCGGCATTGAAGTCAGCCTCGTACACCTTTATGAACAGATAGCTGACACGCACAAATGCGGGTATTACAGTGAGTGACCGATCTAATGAAATGTTGGCTGAAATTCTGAAATGCGTTTTCGATTAGGAAGGGGTTTTAATACTGATTATCATGAGACATAATTCCATAGTATTTCAGACTCGCCAGGATGTCGGCTCTTGAATGCACTTCTTTTCGACCTCCTGCCAAAACTACACTCGGTAAAAAATGACTAGTTAAGTATCACGCATTTTTCACATTGATTTTCGACGGTCTTATAAATTCAAATGTATTTTATAGAAAACGTGCACAAAATATGCTTTCTTTTATTAATTTAGTGGAAAATCGAATTGTGTTCATACTTAATACCCGAAGAAAGTGTACATCTAGGTTTTAAAAAAAGTTTTCCAATTCCTGAATACTTTTCAGCCCGATCTGCCATTGCATTAGCGTTTAGCGATTTAAGTCTACAAGGTGCATGCTTTCCGCGTAAGGAAGATCACATATTCCTCTATGCCTTTAAGAAGATACCATAGAGTCCATAAAAGTTCGCGATGGATTTGGGCTATGCTGCACATCTCATGAGGAGCATGTACGATGCTGTATATATGGACGCCACACAGTAGCATGCATTGCAAATTCAAATATATCTTATAGAAGCCATAAACAAAATATGCCTTCTTTCAGTCAATTAATAGAGAATCACATCTTATTTATATTTTACACTCAACGAATGGGTATTATTAAGTTTCCAAAAAGTTTTCTAATTGCCGCATAATTTGGAGCCTTATCATTCGTCGCATTAGCGCTTAGTGATTTCAGTCTACAAGGTGCATGCGTTCCACGTAAAGAAAAGCATATATTTTTTTATGCCATTAAAAAGATATGATACAGAGTCCATAAAATTTTGCAATGGATGTGGATTATGTTGCATATTTCATGAGGAGCAGTGGTAAATGGCCAGGTACGATGCTATGTGAATGGACATCGCGCGGTCTTAAAAATCTCATAATTAGAAACTTTTTTAAAACCTAATTATACTCCTTTCTTGAGAATAAAATATAAAAATGTGATTCTCTATTAATTGACTGAAAGAAAGCATATTTTGTTTATGGTTTCTATAAGGCAAATTTGAATTTGAAAGACTATCGAAAATCAATGGGAAAAATGCATGCTACGTAAGTAGTCATTTTTTACCGAGTACGGCTTCTACAGGAGATTGAAATGAAAGCTGATTGAAAGCTGACATTCTGCCGAGTCCGAAATGTTATAAGATTATGCCGCAAGATAATAAGTATTACAACCGCGCCCAAGTTATCCTTCCTAATCGAAAACGCATTGCAGAATTTCAGCCAACATTTCATGAGATCAGTCACTTACTGTATGTTGTGGGAGGTTGGAAGGAGAGTAGGGTGGAGGTTAAGTCATGTGCAAGCTAACACTACCCAGGGAGTCCGCGGTGAATCAACCTGCGTAATTTAACATGTTAGCCAGTAAAAGAAGGTCGCGACCTCCTCCCCTGAAGAAAGGCTCCAGGATGAGTTCTGTGTCCCGCATACAGAAGCATTATCAGAACAACCTTTGCAGACTTAAACTGACGTTTTTTTCTCTACCTACGGACTTTTGGAGACCCTTTACCGCTCGGATTTCAGCGGCAGAGGTCGGCCTACTTGGCGGCAATAACCGTCTAGATATAAGGGTCCTCGTTTGTTACCGTCTGATTGTTGAAGATCCACTGGCCATAACAAGTGATTGATGCAGTTAAAGGTATCAACATGCGTATAAATCGACAGGGCGCGAAGAGTACATAACTCCTACCTGATGGGCGAGCTTGCAGATATCCTTGAAAGACATCATGTGATCATAGGCACAGTCCAGTACGACGCGCGTTTTGCAGCTTGATTCAGACATCCTGACAATCTGCGGTTTTGGCAATCGAGGAGTGACCTCGAGGCCGGACTGCAAAGCCTGTTTTCGCCGCTCCTGCTTGCGCATTTTCTGCGCCTTACGCAACCTTTTACGATCCTCACAAGAAAGAAAACTGACAAATCTTCGTAGCCTACCTCTTTTCTGTCGAGGTACCTCTCCAACTTTGTCCTTTTGTTAGTTTTCTCGTGGGATCCATGCTCTTCAACATCCTCGGGATCTGCGGTGTCGCCGTTCGTAGCCGTAGCTACAGTGGACGAATCCATAGTAGGGTGGTCGAACAGATTATTCTTCGCTATAAATGAGTTCTACTGAAACACGATTTAAGCAGGCTTGATTAATGTGCAAACATTCAATTGGTAGTGACGGGAATTTATTAGACAGCTTGGGTCATGCAATGGGAACATTCGGTTTGTGGGTTCTGCGTTTGAAACAGGCAACGAAAAAACCGACAGTCAAGTCCTTTTCGGGGTTGGCGCGGACGCAGCACAACATATCGTCGCCGACGCCTCGGGTCTTCCAGGGTGCTCGCGGAATGACGGAGGCTTGTGCAGAGTCGGAGGTCAGCTCGGGGTTCGGTTGGTCTTGCCAAATCTTCAGGAGACGAAACTCCTCCGAAAAGTTGGCAGCCTGCTCACGAACAACGGCCTCATTCTCCTGAGAGGGTGAGACAGGAGTCAGTTAAGAAAAAGGCAAAGGAAACAGAAGAACTCTCGCCAGTTCGTTGAACTCAACGTCGTAGACATCACAACAGACCATGAAATTCCGGTAAGAATGCCAAACTTCAAGGAGGCGACTTTTCGTCAATCTCCCCGTAGTTGACCATGTGTATAAATGCGGTTTCAAACAGACCAGCTACAGTTATTTGACCGGAAGTGCAGTAAACCTGTTTGGCGTAATGAAAAGAAGCAACCTATGGGGGAATTAATGAGTAAAACCCAGGCCCCACCAAATAGCTATTTCCAGTTTTTCCGTAAAAGCAAACCAACTACATAAACTTCGGTGCTGTGAAATGATGTTGTGACGTGGGAAGGCTGGTTAAAGACAACGGCTGCTGAATGCATGGCCCGCTGAAACACTGGAAGCGTTGATGGATATCTGTAAATTTCCAATCAAGAGTGCACAGCCAATTGACAAGCATGGGACATAATCTTCATACATCCAGACCGGTTAGCCAGTGCCTCTACGTGCTGCCAAAACAAGTCACTTGGAAAATTTTTCCGTGGTGTTCGTGTCGGATTAAAAAAATACCCACAGTTCAGTTTGATGCCCCTCAGTGCACCAACAGTTCGACCGTCGTTACAAACTACAGTAGGTGGACTAACTCACTAAATGTCGGCCGAAATTTCGAAATGCGTTCTCGTTTCGAAAAGATTAATTAAGTAGGGTTGTAAAATTAATCACCGTCCAGCGCGATTCTATAATGATCCAGTTACCTCAGGGTGTCTTCTTTCGAAAGAAATTATTTCCGACTTCATGCAAGAACTATACTCGGTAAAAAATGACTACTTAAGTAGCATTCAATTTTCTCACTGATTTCCAATGACCTCGAAAATTCAATTATATTTGATGAAAAAATGCACAATAATGTTAATTCTTTTATTTGTTCGGTAAAAAATAACGTCTTCTTTCAATTTTATACTCGAAGGAAGAGTATAATTCGGTTTCAAAAAAGTTTCTAATCGTGAGATTTTTTGATACCGTGAAATGACCGTTCATAAAACGTCATGTACCTGAATTTACCAATGCGGCTGGTAAAGCTAACAATATTGCTTAAATCTACTGCTTAATTTTATGAACCCCATATGGTCTCCTCTTAATACCGTACTGAAATGTATGGTTTTCCATACACGGAAAATATACGGCTTGTAGTTTTGAAACCCTGAATGCAAGAATAACAGCAGGTCGGGTACAAAATTATTTGGGAATTGGAAAAGTTTTTTAAAACGGAATTATGTCCCTCCTTCGAGTATAAAATTGAAAGAGGATGTGATTTTCTACCGAATAAGTGAAAGATTGAATACATTTATGCATGTTTTCCATGAAATATAATTGCATTTTCAAGGGCATCGAAAATCAATGAGAAAATTGCATGCTACTTAAGTGGCCATTTTCTGCAGAGTATAATTCTCGCAAGCAGTTCATTCGAAAGAAGGCACCCTGAGGTAACTGGATCATCATAGAATTATGCTGGACGATGATTATTGTTACAACCATGCTTGATTAATTTTTTCGAAACGAGAACGCATTTCGAAATTTCGGCCGGACATTTCAAAAGTTAGTCCACCTACTGTAAGTCCGTCGCGTGCCCCACAGCAGACTGGACGCAGCCGCGGTGGCCGCGCTTGAATAGGTGTGCAGTCATGGCAGACTTGCGTTGCATCTATCGCACTTTCTCCCCCCCCCTTCAATCTCCTGCACCCGGTGCCAAGGTGGAGTTAAGAAGACCGGATCGCGCGTGCAGTGGCTGACAGGGCCTAACAACTCGTCTACGCGTCTCACACATTAGACTAGGTTTCCACACGACAATAAAGGTGGAAGCCTGGGATCTGAACCCAGTGGAAGCGACATAGAGGACGCACTAAGGAGCCTGCCTCTCCGTCCTCACGCTACTTGGCAGCTTCCCAAGTCACGGCAGTTAGCGACAGCAACAAGAGAGATGCAGATCAGGTCCCCGGGTCGGTATGAGAAGGACCGAACATCATATCGAAAAGAATTGAAATGGAAGGATGTCGGAGTGCTGTCTGCCAGTTGAATAGGAGGTACGGGACAGTATACGAGTAACAAATGTGAATTACTAACCAGACAGTATGATTTTACATCCCACAGACTTGACTCGGTCCTGCTAGTGAGACACAATGAGAGGCCAACGCTGCGTGTCCTCTGAGTACATCTGAGTAACCTCATTCTGGCCACGACGCGTCGTGACTTCGAAGGTCGCCCACTGTCGTCATAACTCCGCTCTACTCAGGGCCAGCCTACATGGACTGCTTCCTAGTGTGGCCTTCGTGGTACCTTCACCGGCGTCGGATCCGACATCTCCTTATTGAAGACTGGTTCGTGTGAAGTTGGCGATCACCAAGTTTGCGGCATGGATAAAGGTGGATTCGGCCCGGTCAGCCACTTTGCCTACCGCCACTTGAGCATGTTTGGAATCTGTCGTGGGTGCGAGAAGAGTACATGACTCCTACCTGATGCGCGAGTTTGTAGATATCCTAGACAGACTTCATACAACAGAGAACGCAGTGGCAGTCCTCGTCATTTTCGACAAACGAGCTTTCACAGGAGTAGTGCAAAGATGGGTTTCGAATTACCACGCATGTGGGATCCAAGCTGTTCTTACGGTGTCCTGGTGCACGTATTGGGAATCAGGCCGTGTTTGGCGCGCGCGTAGACGGACGATTTGACACCATCCACGGTGGTATGGAGCGCTCACCGATTGTTCTTACGGAACTCATCCGTTCCGTTGTGCCTTGCGGGCTGTCTCTTGAGCCCAATTAGCAGCCGCGCAGCGGCACATGATCTAGGCAGAATGGCATTACCGACAAAGACAAGGGAGACTAAAATGGCCATTTCCGGCTTATTAGTCGTCGTCAGCCTGTCATACCCAACCCCGAAGTGTGGAACATCCGAGGTTCGAACTCGCGACCTGTTAGTTAGAAGTCCACGCCTCCAGTCTCCCTTGTCGTTGTCAGCAATAACATACTACCTTTATCATGCGCCGCTGTGCGGCTGCTGGTTGGGCTCGAGAGAGAAAGAGAGGGCCCGTAAGGCACAACGGAACGAGTGAGTTCCGTCAGAACGATAGGTGAGCACCCCTACCATTGTATATTCCCCATCGAAAACCGACAGGGCAACGGGCTCATGGCCCAGTGGTTAGAGGCGTAGACTTCTTACTAACAGGTCGCGAGTTTGAACCTCGGGTGTTTTACACTTTGGGATTGGGTATGACTGGCTGACGACGGCTTATAAGTCAGAAAGGGCCATTCCAGTCTCCCTTGTCTCTGTCGGTAATGTCATTCTGCCTACATCCCCCTGCCTGTGTGTGGAATGGATACGAGGGCGAAGTGACAGATGATCCGACCTGTGAGTGCCAAAGCATAATGCTGATTTAGGCAGTATAGTATTACCGACAAAGACAAGGGAGGCCTGGATGGCCATTTCTGGCTTATTAACCGTCGTCAACCAGTCATACCCAACCCCGAAGTGTGGCACACCCGAGGCTCGAACTCGCGACCTGTTAGTTAGAAGTCCACGCCTCTAACCACTGGGCCACGAGCCCGTTGCCCTGTTTGAGCGTCTCTTACCATTGTATATTCCCGACCGAAAACCGACAGGACAACGGGCAAAGGAGGAGAGCGCGCAGCAGACTCTGCGCAAGTCTGTCCTACCATGAGCTAACGTACGCGCAAACTGCCGATGCTGCATCCGCCCCGTGGGGCACATAGTGGATGTCGTCGAGCACGACTGTCTAGATGTCCTGTTGTCGAGACCTATGCTCGCCATTGGCAGAGGATGCGTGCGTGTGTGGATGAGAAGATTCAAACGTTATCTGTGTCCGTTAAGGGGACCCCCAATAACGCGCAGTTCACCGCTGCCTTCCAACAGCAGTGACTGGAAGCAGCCTGACAGACCATCCTAGGGCAGGAAACAATAGCACAGTTGAGAGGGCATAAGATAAACTGTTACTGTTGCTTAGCCGATGCACGAGTGCTTGCACACAATGGCCTTTTACAGGCGTTTGAAAAGACTTAATCCCGTCGTCCATCTCACTTAACTACGTCCCTAACTGGAGTCTTGGGAAAGCCAATCGTGTTTTAGATAGCGAATTTTCACCAGGACGCGGTTGATCAATGCTGACAATATCGTCCCGCTAGCATCTAGCTACACTAAACTATAGAATGCAGCAGCTCGGCTGAATAGGGCTACTAAGTCTGTCAGCTTGTCTGGTGATGATGCAAAAGCCAAAGCATCCTAGAGCTGCATCTCCGACTGGAGGAAGGCACTCCTCGTGACTACTGGCTCTTCAGGGAAGTGGACAGGTCCAAACATGTAAATGCAAAGTTATCCCCAAGAGCAGTGCAGCTCGCAGAGTTTTCGCAAGCCCTCGAAGGTGTTAGTCAATTGACAAAAATATCTGTCCGCAATGCGCATTCGACCACTTCTGCTTCGCGAGTGAAGGAAAGAGGGCAACGATTGAATATGTGACCCCCAGTTTTATTACTGTAGCACGTCTACTTATTTTACTTAAGTAGGCATGTTGTGTTAGGGCCATAATTACAGGTAAGGTTACGAATAGGATCGTGCCTTACCCAATCCGGCTACCAATAACCAACCACCACAAATTACCTGCTTTCAACCCGTTTACGCGCCTTTAATACGTAGCTTTCAAGCTGTGTGGTCTGTACCGGCACCTCGTTAGGGCAATAAAACAAACATATGACAGAAATACGAGTATTTCCAATGCCTTCCGCAGACTTACTTAAGCACCTTCTCCATCCACCCCACTCATAAAACCCCACTAACATTCTTCCTGTATCATCGAAAGTCATTTTGCTCCATTTTCTCAGTGAGGCTACATATTCAGTCCTTGCCAGGAAGAGGAATAAAACTAGGCGCTTTTATCTGTTATCCTTTCAGTGGGGCGTAAATAAGCCTGTCCAAATGAGACTGTCTGCAGTGGTTGCAAATAAATCGAAGGGCCATCTTCGACCATCCATTGCAGAAGGCCTGTGCGGTAGGGTTTGCCTAGGAGTTTAATGCTGCTTCGTTTAACTAAATGCGACGAAGGGGACGCCAACCGAAAACCTGACTCGATACAGTCCGCCAAAACTCGGAAGTGGTAATTCAGTACTCTGTTACCGCTGGAAGGTTAACTGGCTGCGCGATAAGGAAGGTCGCCTGTCGAGGGGGTTGAACTCTACCTCTTCGTAGACTGAACAAGTTGAATAGACAACCAGCTGCACGGAGGGAAAGGAGAGCGCGTGCCGCAGGAGCTTAGACTGTAGATTGGACAGTCGAGTTATCCGCTCCTTTGGTGGAGGGCCCTCTTGGGCCAGTTCGGGGCGACGCGAGTGGAGACCGGAACTGGTGCAAGAGGGGTCCAACAGGATGGCTGTCAGGTCCGCGAAAGCGGGGTCCTGAGGATCGAGACTGAGGAAGTCCACACAGCGGGCGTCAATATCACAGAGCTGGTTTTTTTCGGAGGCGACGCCTTCCAACACACTGGCTCCGTTAACAGACAGTGAGTGACCTCCTAGTTCGGCACAGGACCGAAGATTGCTGCAGAGGTGTTGGAACCTTGTTGAGGGAAAAGGAGAAGGAGCTCATACGCTCAGGTACTAACGTTATTCATAAATAGCCCGTTCAAAATAAGACGGCCAAGTCAAGACAGAGGTAGATTTAGGGCCTCTTCAATAGTCCTCAGAAATCTGAAGTCCTTGGCTTATTAAAGCTTCGTAAAGCTACGGTAGGCGTCGGAATTCCTGAAACACTGCTGAAAACCGTGTAGTGGACAGCCATAATGGCTACGTCGCGCCTCTCGCTAGCGCCTGCACCTACGTCCTGGCGACAGCCTGCTATGGCACGCACGTCTGCCCGGCTTCGATTTGTCTCATTGCGATTCTCTGCCTGCACCACGCGAGGCCTGTCACTACCTTCGCGTGGGCTCGGAGCCAATCAGTGCGATCTCTTTCGCTGATTGGTTACGAGTGCACACACGGGACGCCGCCTTTGCGGACGTGATTTGGAACAGACAGCACAGAGGCAAGAAGGCCACATCACTTTTGCAGCGGCGATCTTCGGTGACACAGGGCTCGTCGCTCTCGCGGACGCCGCCTCCGCAGCGCCGGACGCATCCTCGTCCGGTTGCCAACTTTCCCCTTCATTATTCTGTACAGAATAACGTGTCCTAACCAAATGGCGTCCTGCTTCTAGCAACCTGCGATATGGCCTGAAGTTGTGGAGTACTGAGCGTACACCATCACCGCTTAGCCGCTACAACCGTCCAGTTAATTGGGGTCACGATGATAGTTGGGAGGACACATGGTGCCAAAGGCAGAAGAAACTCGTGCGCTCAAGTACGAAGACAGCCAGATCGAAACGGAGGTAGATTTATGGCCTCTTCAATAGTCCTGACAAATCTGAAGTCCTTGGCTTGTGAAAGCTTCCTAAAGCTACAGTAGGCGTCGGAATTCGCGAAACACTACTGAACACCGTCAAGTTAATTGGGGTCACGATGTTAGTTGAGAGGAGACATAGTCTCAGGTGATCTTTGGCAGGTGATCTGTGGCATGCTGGCATTTGGTTGACGGTCTTGCAAGCCGCTTGTATGAATCGTTCTGAGAGATCAAAACACTACTTAAGTAGCCCACACTTTTCAATTATTTGTGATGCTGAAACAAATTTGATCATATTGCCCAGGACTGGTGTAGAGCGGTTTAGGAATTTATACCGCCCTTGAGGGAAGTCGACATGACAGTCCGACCGTCGATTGCGACAATGTCCAGCGTGGGGGCATGGATGATGACTTGCACGTGAACTGGATCACAATGATGGCAGACTTGTGCAGCATCTCCCGCACTCCCCCTTCCCCCACCTGAAACTGATGTTATGACAGACGAGATACTACGGAAGAAACTGACAACGGCTAGCAAAAAATACCCTACTGGACCAGATGGTGGGCCAACGGCCCAACAATGGCTATCGTAAATTTTCAAAAAAGACTAAAATGCCCGAGTCTATGATTGCCCGTGTGATGAGACAGCAAGAACTATGAGGTAAATGAGTACCGCCCAAAGGAAGTCAGACAACATCTCCAAAGTGAAAACGACAAACGCTGAGAAAGTCCCTACCCAATGGTTCTCCACACTAACTTCGGATAATTGGGCTAGCAGTTTAGTCGGCCCAGACATGTTTAGCCAGTAGGAGCCGGTTAAATGAAGCTCACCACATTTGAAAGTTAATGGTGTAAGGTTGTGAATATATTGAGCAAAGCATATGCGTAATAATGCCAACTTTTAAGGGGTGTGTATCCCTGGAGTCTAGTATCCAGGAACTTATTGGTTTTGCCTCTAGGGCATGCAATCTGACACCAAGCTACTTCAGCACTTGTGACACTAAGAAGGATATGCAGTCAAAAGGGAATATAACGTTGTGTATGCATAAAATTGTCGCTCTTCCAAGTGTAGACCTTCGGCGAGGCGTAATTGGCCACAAGACAACTAATTAGAACGAAGTTTCGTGTCGTCAACGAGTGCACGTGATCAGGAAGCACCTCTGAGTTTCTTAGCGGTCTGAGCAGAACTACGACCTCGAGTAAGTCATGAATCAAGTACCTCATCTTAGCAGCGAAGAAAAAATCCCCGCTTAATGAAAGCGCTTATGTGGACCGATTACTGGAAGCTATTTTGAAATAAAAAATAAAGTCTTACCGCTTTGTGTCTCTGTCGAGGGCAATAACTTTACTGGACTGCCGAGAGGACAAACCGGCGATGAGCAGAGTGGTCTTGTTGCCGGGCGCAGCACAGGCGTCTAACACAGTAACCCGATGTGCCTTGCGAAGGCACGGAGAGGAGAGGAGCACCATGGCCGGAATGCAACTGGCCTATAAGGGCAGAGGCCGGTTAAGAGTAATAAAATCCTTCCGGGCAGACTACGCCAATGGGGCAACGCAAGGAGTTAAAACGCCGACCCGGGGGTAGTGCAAATCAGTTCACATTCCCTTCTCCATGGCTTTTCAGATCCGACTCCAGCGCTTATTCAACCAGTAGAGTTGGATACTCTCAACAGACACGCTTAGCACAGCCCGCTAATTTAGGCAGTTCGGGCATGCTCAGTTGCGGAATATGGGAAATATGGAGGCCTTAGTCCATCCAGAAAACGTGTGTCACCAGAGCAAAGTCTGATCGCTGATTCACCTCAGCAATTCTTGTGTCGGGCGCTCCACCGCCTGAGCTATAGGGGACCCGCCTGCAAACGAGACATTTCTGTTAGGATCGCCAGACACCTCTAAAGGGTGCAAGATAACTAGTTGGAACAGACAAGCTCGGCACAGTATCCATGTATCGTAGAGGACAATCACTGGTTGTGTTACGGGACCCACTCGTTCCGTTGTGCTTTGAGGTTCGATCTAGAGTTACGCAGGAAGTCGTACAGGATGTGCGCGATCGGTAAGCGCCCTCTGTCATTGTTAAAATACCCGATCGGAACCGACTGGACAAGGATGCTGGACTTCTAACAAACACAATGCGACTTCGAACCCCAGAGGTTGTAAACCATGAGACTGGCTATGACTGGTGGACGACGGCCGACAAGCAAGAAATGGTCATTTCAGTCTACCCTGTACTTGTCGGTAACGTCATTCTGACCTGCTTCATAAGCTTCCGATATGTATGTTATGCATCTTCCACTAGACAGATGAGTGTATTTCTAGATCTCGAAAAGATGTCTCCTGATGTTTACAGAATACTGCAGTAGGCCACGGGGTACACTGTGATGGCGGCAATTATAAACCTGAGAGTAATATATCGTACGAATGGTAGTGCGAAAATTTCAGGAATTATCACGGCTGGAAATTTTTAATGACCAGAATGTTCCCCAAAAAGATGTTTGATGAAGACGTCAGGGAATAAAAAACGAGCGTAAGGAAAATACATTATTTTTGTACTTTTTTGATTAACTATACCGAAGTGTACACAAGCATCGGCAATTTCTGGGGCATGCTGGCTACCCAAATAGCGATAATTCGGCTGAAGAGACTTATACAATTAAAAAGATTATAAAACGAACTCCAGTATACTACGTTGTATGAAGCAACACGACAGTATGTCCAATAGTAAGCGGTATTGTAATCGCACTTAATAAGTTTTCTTGCTTAAAAGCACATTAAGGATTCTACATTCGGAGGTTCATGCAGAATGGCCCGTAAACACGAGAATTAACTAATGCACATCGACATGCCAACTGTCCACCAACAAGCTTTACGCTCATTATGATGATCACATAGCTAAAATAACTACTGAAGAAGTGTATGTCTGTCCAATCATTGCCAACGGTTTCTGGAGAGACAACGACAGCGGACTGCGTACAAGTCGATCAATAATTAACAAAACTCTGTTTACGTTTGTTGAGGGGAAGGTGTGCACACAAAACATGCTGCTACGGGGTTCTGAGCTAAAAAAATTTGCTGTTATTCGGTCAAAGTTAAAGGCATTCAACTCCCATCCTAAAATGCGCAATAGGAAGGAACCTGAAAATTCCTCCCTCGACGATTTTAATATGCTTTCCTACAACAGTCTCTGAACGAATAATAAAACATATCATTCTCACAAAAACGTATTTTTTTCGATAATCCTGTCAAATTACGTCTGGTCACGCCTATTTTATACGGCCATCATTCAGAGTAAATTCGAACTGTGTGGCCGCAACTCCCTTTCCCCTCCTGCAGCACGAGGAAGTAAACTCCCTCAGGCCAGTCAGACATGATTTGGAACGCTTTCCGTCGCGGCCGACAGGGCTTCTGCTCGTGCCTAAAACAGTACAGCGAATAGTTAAACGACAGAATTATGTCGCTAGTTTCCCTACGTCGGGCTAATGCAGACAAACAAACCAGCACTCTTAGTCTTTGGCAGTGATACTTCTCGCTCACATAGTGACTGTGGAATCCTCCTACACTAGATGCAGGTAGACGACGATAAAGGGCGGTGAAAACATGCCAAATATTGTAGTATGGAACCTTTATCTTACTTTCCGGTGGGTCATTTAGCTAAGAAATTTGGGAACAGTGGTTACGCAGGTGCCTTTGAAACCCTGACGCTATTTTCTACATCAGCATCTATTTACGGTTGTAATTAATTGACGGCACGATAAGACAAAGTAGACGGTAGTTACTTTCGAATGAATAATCATTTCAGAATTAGACAAAAACACGGAAACACACCTTGTCCTGAATAATTACTTTATTGGAAGTCCGCAGGGAGCAATCGTGAAGATCTGAACCCGTACCGAAAGCAAGCAAGAGATCTGGGAAGTGGAAATCTCGAACATATTCGTTTGGTTTGAGGCGCCTCACCGTCTTCAGAAACCTATATTGCCTGGATAGAGGGGTGAAAGAAGTTACTTCCGATAAGAGATTCCTTCTGTTGGGTACTCGACGAGGGTATATACACCAGACTTTGTAAGACGCTTGATGATTTTTTGCATTGTAGTACAGAGCGTGTTAATGCGTACGAAGACAGGCAAGCGCATAGTTTTCTCATCCGCCGAAGTTTCTAAAGGAGGATTGGTTTAAAAAACGGGCTTGTCGCGTAACAAAAAGGCTGCTGGGGCCGAATCGCCGAGATTAAAACCGTCAGAAAGCATGAGTTCTACAAAAACATTTTGTAAAAAGATTCCGCTGTGTATGTCAGAACGATGTTTTACCGGGGTTAGACAAAGTAGAAAGAAGGGACAAGACAAATAACTGTAAGAAAGTGTAAACGGCCCCGAAAAGCAGATATCATTAAGTTTTGGGATATTTTGCAAAGATGATACGCCATTCTCAAGTAATGCTGTATAAAAAAACAGCGTGAAAGTTAGTTTACTCAGTGCTTTCAACGATAAAAGCGACACTAGGCGACCATGAGGAGTGGCGATATCACTGGGGCAACATTAACAAGTCATTGAGTATTAATGACAACGAGGAGACGATCGGCCATTTCTCAAAATGAAAGACGAACATGCTGGATGTCCGGTAAAGGTAATAATTAAGTATAACCCCAGCAAGGTCATCGCAATTTTATCACGGTCCGCTCCTTGCTCTATATGTGGTAACACTATCCGAAATCACTTTAAACAACATAGGGACGGTTACGAAAGTCTAGACCCAAAACAGTGCAGCCTTCAAACAACTGTAGACAGGAGACAAGAATGATCGTTCGCCCATTAATGCAACAATTTGAAATAAAGACTTCTTTCGGAAAAGGTATTCACAGAAACTGGTAGAGAAAAACCAAACATTACGTGGACAAAACGCTCATTGATACCTTCTTTAAGAATGCGTTTGATCGACTTTCGAAGGGAGGAGGCTGCGTGCGGGAGTTTTGTATTTTTCCTGAGGATCTGTAAGGCGATCCGTCGATGTCCAAACGGTTTTCGGCAGCAACTCAAGTCGAAAGCCACGACTGTCAACATACATGTGCTGCATGCAGGTCTAGTTAGGTCTGTTGTGTGCTTCTGGTGCCGCAAAATTTTGTCGTCGACAGTCCCTGTGTCGCGCAAACCTTTTAAAAGTTGCTTTTGTGCCGAAAGACAACGGGAGACAAAGGCAAAGAGCGCCTTCGACTTCTGCGAACTGCAACCAACAAAATAAATCTTACGGGTCCTTCGAGAGAGTAAAATGCATTCTTGAGTCCGGTCTTTTTTGATGATACCACGCAGAGGAGTTTGGATGCATTTTGATAGAGAGCCTGACTATTCATCATTACACGCTGGGCTAGGCGGACACAGCCACAAAACCAACAACGAGAAAACAAAAAACATCTGCATCTCTAAAGAGTCAAGGTCGGAGCAACCCTGAAATCAGTTTGCAGTGGGCTTCAGGCAACTTCCTATTTCCTTAAGAAGCAACTTCTGCAGAAATCATCGAAACGGATCAAATTCGAACATGGTAGCAGGCAATGTTTTGCGGTAATCTATGGGTATCCACTAATATTTGGGAGAACTGGATACCTAAAAATTCGAAGACTTCTGATATAGTAGGACTGGCGCCTCGTTTGGATGTCCAGGTTGACCTTGGAGTGGTTAATGAAAAGTAAGAATAAGCGAGTCGTTGAGGGCATGTACAAAAGTGGCTCTTAATTGCGAAATGTTAGCATAAGAAAACTCATTAGCTGTCGAAAAAGTGGCGGCTTAACCTGATGGAAAGAAGATCGAAAACATTATCAAACAAAAAGCTGGCGTTAATTGCGGAGAACAAAATGAGATGCAAAACAACGCAAAACCTATTGTATTTTGCTCGTGAAATTTCCAAAGGCTTGCAGAAAAACACATAATTAACACAAAGAGAAGGACGAGCCATATCAGCATATTCAATTATACGTTTATTTGGTTCCCGCAGTGCCGTGGATGTTAAAGCGCAGTACTCGAAAAAGCCAGTATCTAGATTGGCCTAAAGATATCTATTAATGGGCTGTTTTCATTTTACCGGTGGAGGACCAAGAGGCTGCTCAGCATTTTTGCTGAACTTGTCTGCTCTCCTAGATTACTTGTGGTAGCAAAAAATGGGAGGCCGCTAATGACCACAAGAATCAGCACTGGACTCCCATGGATAAGTAAAGATACATGCACAGAAGCTTAGTGCCATCCGGAGCACGCAATTCATGATCATAGCTGGGCTACTCGACTAACGCTTTCAGTCACCTGATCTGCTTCGTTTTTGTTCAGCGCATCTCTAAAACATACCGACGTGAGGTAGGCAGTTCAACGATCACAAACGATGAGGTCCACCGTATGCCATACGGTTTGGTGGTCGCAGGACAGCGACCTGTGCACGAATTACTTAGTAGTGTTCGAACGGTTTACCCAGTGATTTGGTAACCTTCCGTGTCAAGACTTTTAACATGTCATGGCTGATTCGACCTCGTCAGTTTCATGTTAGTAAGAAACGCGCTAAATTGCCGCACTCCTTATTTCCTTTCCAGTGCAGCAACCTACTGCCCGAGTTTTGTAATTATTTTGTCATGGAAGTGATTGTAGTAACTTGCAGAGCTGCAGGAGCTCGTCTATGTGTGCCAAATACGACCTGGCCGGACAACAAGTTGCGCGTATGAACGAGCTTCCCGCCTCCGTGAGAGTTGAATATTTCGTCTGTGTCGGGCAATGTGAATCGATTTCATGCGTTGTCTGGGGATGTGCAGACTAGTTGCGTGATTGGGTTTTTAATATGGCGATTTTCTTTAGCAAATTAATGTCTGGAGACCATTTGGGCAGCTGAGGCGCGCACGGAAAGTGTATCTACGTATCTCATACGCCTATTCACCAGTCCTTGTGAGATGGATTCGTAAATGGCCGATCAAGACCATGCGTGATGTGCAGAAGTGGTCGCAATGGGGACAGGCTAAATTCGGCGGTGCGTCGGGGACGATGTTGACAGTGGTAGGAGGCTGTGGTCGTGGTTCTTATATTTGACTTGAATGGGTTGTTTTAGTGGTGTCGGGGGAGTTATTGTCTGAGGCAGTGGATGGAGTTGCCTTGTTCATAATACACGAAATCCTGAGTTAAGCCTTTAGGTCGATCTGTATGCGGAAGGTCTGTTGACGTTAGTTTGGGCGTTGGAGTTCTGATCAGGGGAATTCAGTTTATTGACAGAAACAGATGTTTGCTTTCCAGTACCCTATTTGCAACGTAAGGTTGGATGCAGTATGCGAGGAAGTTTTTGCAGTGTCATACTACACGTCAAGATGACATCGAACGGATGGTATTGTTCGGTATAATACTATATTGGTTCAGTCTCTTTTAAAAATCTACATGGTGCAGATATAACGGCATCCGCAGAGAGACCGTTCCGAGCTGAAACCATTTTTTTGGCAAAGAAAAATTTCCCTGTGTTGAACAACTTGAAAGTGTCGAGGATACGGACAGAATTCTAAGTCCCTATTGTCATGTTGAGCGAATTACATGTGACGTCCTTTACGGCTTCACTATCTCATAATATAGTTCACTCCAGAGGGAACTCGACTGCGGTTGGTCTTGGAGGGTACCAACCCAACATTAAGTCCTTTGAACTAACACTGTCATGCATCCCACCAGAAATTCCGGACAAGTCAAAACGTCTACTTAATTTCAAGACGGGTCAGAATGCACGTTCTGTCATTCAAACAGCGAAGAAGCCTAGTCTGTGTAGGAAAACTTTCCCTCCACGATCGTTCGCATACCTGCAAACACCGCTACTGCACAGACCTTACAGTTAATTTAATAAAATCAGTTTGTCAATATTCCTGATTTGGAATGACGTTCCCGCTCTTATTAAAGCGAGGGCCCGCACCATTGAACGCAGTTTATTCACAGTCGTATTTCTAAGGGAATTCAAAGTAGGCAATACAGAAACCACTGAAGGATAGACTGGCGGGGCCAGCGAGAAGCTTTCAGTATTAACGTTAGGGTATGCTTTATTACTGACGCAAATAGCAGAGTCGATCAGAATACAGTTATTTTTGTTGTCCAAGCCCCATCAACAAGTCGCGACAGGAATCATCAAGAAGACGCTTGGATCGTATTTGCACTATTGTCATTTGGGGGGCTCCTGAGTCCGCTTCGTATGTTGCAAAGTAACGGAATGAATACAGCTACCACCTCTGCGAAAACATTCCAATGCTCTCCTTCAGGATGGGGTGTATTTTACCGTGCGCAAAGACTTCCACCCTGAAGACACAGATATGTCGCGTAGACTGTTGTTAGCAGGGCCTCTTATAATCATTATCGACGATGAAATTCACACTTCATGCCACCTAGAAGGGATAATGGCTCTTTGCAATTCCAATGGAGAGGTGTTTTTTTCAACCGGATTACAAAATGATGGAAAGACACAAAATGCGCAGCTCTGGAAAGAACTGTGAAGAAGGACAGAAGAAAGGGAACACAGTAAAAAAGAAGGGAAGGTCGGATAGCACAGACCAGTTGGCCATTCTTGTGACGAGTAGCTTTTATAATAAAGTCTGGTCCCAATCTAGAAGAAGGAAACAGAGGGTAATATACCCAAATGTGTAGAGCCTGCTTAATAAAATCCTTCAAGGCTTTTATTTAATTTCTCCAAATTTGTTATTATTTGATGACATATTAATCCTTTATTCCTTATTTTTCCTGGGCATAGATTTGTCCAAACACGCATTTCCTAGCTAGGTCTTGACTCTTAGTGGATTTCTGCCGACTGAATCATTGAGGACCTGCTGCAATTCATAGTTTCTGAATTAGAAGTCCATTGAGAAACATGATGATTGTGGGGTAAAAAAACTCCTCGGAAAAAGTTAAAAATGATTGGATTAATTTTACAGGAGAAAAAACCCCTCTTTAAAAATAATGACAGAAAAAAGCGAGCAGGACTGGCCTGTAGGTGGCGGTATATAACGGAATGTTGTCGGTCATCGTCAGGGTAGCAATAAATCTCAGCCTTGAGGGGTACGTATGCGGGTCAGACAGGACTGGCCTGCATGTGGCATTGTATACGGGATTCACAATTGAGATCGTCTGGGCCGGGTTGATACGCCGCATGAGACTATTCGCGTCAAAGAGGCCAGACTAGAGGAACCCAGATGCGATCGGCAACAGCACGCTTCGAGCTCAGGCGAGCAGTGGGGAAGGGAGGTACGACCAAACTACTAGTAGACGGCGAATAATGAGGGTTCCGCCCTGAGCGTCGACAGACCGCATGAGGTCGGAATGCGGGAGATGGCATCAAAAACCGCGAAACTTGTCGCTATGGGGGAGGAGTGATAGCAGTGGATTTAGAAACCAATTCAAAATAGGCGTTTCAATGATATAATTAAGAGTTACCACTTGATCTACCACTAAATCCCAGGAGGACCTTTCTCGAAGTCAAGAATCTGAGTATTAGGGAATGAGACCGTTAACAGTGCCTTTATGCTTTCCGGTGTAAGATGTTTGCGTAATTTCGACTTGAATACGAGTAAATTAGGCGATAATCTAATTTCAGGCGGAAGATTATTCCAAAGGAAGGCATATTTGGAAGCGAAGAAGAGGGGGCGCTTAGATGTAGTACAAAGAGGCGGCTGAATCACCATGCAGGAGTTGCGCGAGGCATAAGACCGATCTCTCAGAATTAGAGTGTCAATGAGCGGAAGAATAGAGCTAGAGTTGATGCGAAAAAGGAAGCAAAGGCCGGCTTCGAGTCTTCTAACCCACAAAAACTTAATGTTCGCCAGCTGACATCTCTGAGTATAAGAAGTACCGGACGAAGCTTCAGAGAACAGTTTCCGGATGAAAACCTTCTGAATATTTTCGATTTTATTACGGTCGCAGGCGTTCATTAAACCGAAGAAAGGACAGCAGTATTCGAGGACTGGAAGAGCAAACATTTGATAAAGTCTTAGCTTCATTTCCGGAAGGAAAAAATTATGCGATATGAATCGACATATCTGCGCGGCTTTGGCAGAGATTCTATCTGCATGAGGTGATAAAGCAAGCTTATTTGTATAACTTAGACCTAGGTCCTTTATGGTGAGGCATTCTGAGAGTGGGTTATTCTGAAAAATTATGGGACCAGGAAGTTTGGTAGGACCAAAAGACATGAAACTACACCTGGATGATGAAAACTCCATCTGCCATGTCGAACCCCATCTGCTTAAGCGTAGTAAATCGGCATTAATTTTTTTCAACACAAACATTTGCGGTGTCCTTAGAGTATGAGTAAACACACTTGAGGTCATCGGCATAAGTAAAAGTTTGCGAATTCCCGAGTTCAGTCGAA